ATTTTAACCCATGGTTTTTACATTTTGCCCGGGGAGCAATTAGGCGTTAGGTGTCTTGCTCATGGACACTTCGGTTTAGCGAGAGAAGAGTCACAAGCACGATCAGACAGGTGGTAAAGATTTCACATCAGGGAGCGGTGAACATTAATACCATAATTATCTGTTGTAAATATCGATCAAAGTTTAAAGACCGACCATCTCGGTCAACCGTGATCCTAGTTGCTGTTGTTGTGTTTACTACCAGTTTATATATCAATAATTACAATTCTGTAAAATGCACATTAAGATAACTATAAAAATAGAAACAATACAGGAAAATTATGACTAAAAAACCCTCTATAACTCCAGCATCAGGTATTCAGTTTGGTTTTAAATAAGTCAATTTAGTTATGTTGTTTTAAACGACTTTGACACGGTAATTATGTACACAGATCACATTCTAGGTCATATTTGTCTAAAGCTCCTCTCATGTTGGTTAATCTGTAAGGTCGCCACGTTCCTACATCTCAGCAATTACATTGGCAGGAATACTATTATTATCGATGGGAATTATGGTTAAAGCATTAAAAAATATATAATTGAACAGGATTTTATTTGATCTGGCGGAGTGTTTATTAGAAAACACAAAAAAACCTCTTCCTGACACATCCGCATTAGCTCCTTGTATCCGCTAACTGCCGGCTCGCTCTGATCCTGCAGAGATCCCAGGAGGAAGACACAGTGATCCCTAGATTACCAGCGAGGGTTTCTTTGGAGACAGCTGCTGGATTACAGTGAGCAGACGTTTCCCTTCAGCGGCGCAGACAGGCCTCTCAAAGACAACTGAAATGTATTGTCCTCATGCGTCAGACATGAGTCTATGTCTGCCTCAGCTCGAAGTCTCCTATAGAAATATCTCCACTATCAGTATCGCACGGCTCCTTCATCTTTCTCTACCGGCGAGCAGAACAATGGTGTTGTGTAAAGGGGACATGGGGGTCCTTGTGATCCACTCCAGGTTTCTACTTCCTCCCGATGCCTCATTCGTACCGTGTGACGGCCACGCTGTCAGCGCCACGCAGTAGACACCGTTTATTGGTTTCCTACCTGCATTTGGATGTCCCTTTTTCTTGATGTGTAGCGTCAGACATTACTCAGACTGAGTAATAGTAAGGAGTTAATGTAGTCATTGGACGTCACCCATTGGTTTGTGGTCGCTTGGAGGCCTCAACTTTAGCCATTTTCTCAACGGCTTTTATCCAATTAAACTTATTTTCACAAATAGGGAGACTCCTGATGATCAGAGTAAAAGAAATTGCATGTTTTAAGACACTTTTGCATTGGCTTTACTGGTAGATTGCCGCCTGGTCCCATTTACAGTCAAATAGAGCATAAAGTGGAGGCTTTCTGCTGCCACAACCAGAGCTGTACACGCCGTCTCATCGCATCTTCTCCACATTCCAAATATGGTGACTTCCATTCAAAAACAACAACATGGTGATGGCCGAAATCCAAGATGGCAAAAGAAAAAAAGCAAACTTGAGGCTTTAAAACGTCAGTCCACAAACCAATGACGTCCAGATGTTTACATCCCCTTTTGTCTATGGAACCGACCAAAATATACCCTCCACACATAAATACTCTTTATCATATGGGCCACATTCTAAAATATGTATCTATACCTAAGAAATCCCTGAACTACCATGAAGCAACATCGATATGCATGATCCCCAGAGGATGATTCCTATTATGGGGACTCACTGACTTCCCCCAATGCCATCTGGCCAAATCTTGGCAAATTTTCTAATCAATACAGGGTCACAGACTTCCCCAAAACACAGTCATGCTTCAAAGGGGATACGTCCTTTGGATTTGAAACTGAGTTAAACAGAGCACAATCCCTTTTATATTTCTCTGGGAGCGTTTACAGGGAGAGTCATCTGACTGAACAATGCTCCTCCCTCAGCACTGCTAGGTGGAAAACACCCCTGGGTGGGCCAAGAATTAGGGCTGGAGCGGAGGGGTACTTCCCCAGGCATTAAGAACTGCTGAGTGAGAATATGATGAAAAGGGTCTTGAGTTTCTACTGGGGCCACTGTGAAATGCATGACCTCTGGTTCCTCATGGACATGTATTGCTGCTGGACTCAAAACAGCACGGCGAACAATGACAACAACAGAAAAGCACAAAAAAGACATGAAATGAATTAGTAACCAGCTTCTACTGTCACATACAATTACCACGTCATGTGTTTTTTTTAGATAGCCGTACCGGATGTGGCAGATTGATGGTTATGGGGCATCTTAACAGCTTCCCCATCTATCTGCTCATATCTCTCTTGTTGCTTCGTCTCCTGCTTATTCAATGTGCGTGTTGCACCATGTGTTGCAACATTGGCCTTTCCTCACTCCGTGGGATAACAGGTGGACACACACACACACACACACACGCACACACGCAGCGGGCTTCAAGCGGCTGCTTTCAATTAGCTGTGGGAAAGTGTGTGTGGAGGACTAGGTAGTTTACGTACGCGTCCCTTTTTGTAGGCCCCATGTGTTGTATACTAATCACCTTAAGATGCGTTAATTTTAGGGTGATGCAATTACTTGTTCGTGCGAGCTAATGTAGAAAATGGTGTGGAGTCTTAATACGAGATCCTCAAGTTAGGATCAGAACACACAGGACTGGAACTGAGCGCGATCACCTCTCACTTGTTTAGAGGTTTTTTTGGGGCAGTTTTGTTCGAAACCCGACCTGCTTCCTGTGCTACAGATGGTGAAGACAAACGGCTAAAAAGCAACAAGTCTGGACTTGCATACAAGAGGGAAAGTGAGTGAGCGAGATAAAATATTCTGATTCTGCTACAAAACAGGCCGGCGTTTAATGGTTTAGTATGTAGCAGTGTCTTCTTACGCATGCGCACTTTAACTCCCCCAACTGGCCCAATGATTTCTGGACATCCAGCAGGACTTACCGACTCCGTTGACACGTGAACTGAGAGAATCATAGACTTTCTACTCGTTCTTTAATATCATATGCACACCAGAAGAGGAAACTCTGCCACCTTTGTCATCGGAAAAGCAAGTCTGTCCCTTTTCCTGAATATTGTTCTCGCATTGATCAGATTGATAGTGAAAACAACTTCTCACCTGCTGGCAAGCTTCTCTACAGCATGACATTAAGAAATGTGCAGATCCCAGTTTCTCTTTTCGTTTCATATTTGGAATCATTATTCATACCAATTTGAATTTTAGAAACGAGAAGACAGAAGAAGCGTTACAATATGAATTTTCTTTACTTTTCCAAGACCGTGACAGGGAGCAGACACATGCAACTAGATGGATCAAGGAATATTTGCTCCCTTTAAATATTTGCACGGACTGAAGTTGCTGCGTATGTTTGTTTGCGTGCGCGTGTGTGTGTGTGTGTGTGTGTGTGCGTGTGTGTGTGTGTGTGTGAGAGAGAGAGGTTAGGGTTCTGTGTAAATTCTTTCACTCATGTCCACAGCTGTTCTCAACATTCCATACGGGAGTCTGCTGCACTTCCAGGAGCCGGCACACAAACACGCACACACTATAGCTGCACTATATTACTGTGCACAAGGGTCAGCCGTAGTCTTTGTCACCCTTAGTTAAATGACTGCCGCTGATACTGGGATTTAACATCAGTGTGCTTAACGTTCACAAGCTGACTCCTACTAGAGCGTAGCGTGTTTGCGTTAGCTGCTAACACACAGCAACGTGGCTTAAAAAAAGAGTTTAGCACGTCACTTGCTTTTTGTGCAGGTTGCCATGGTGATCAAGTGATTGTAACAATAGGAATGCAAAAGTGTTGATTGAGAGAGAGAGAGAGAAAGCGGGTGACGCTGACTCACTCAGGGTTTCAGAGGTGTGTGATTTGTCATAGACGTGTTGCTCTGTGCTGTTGATAGAAGATGTAAGTAGGTGGGTTACTGTTCAATGCTGCATAAAAAACAGTGCAAAAGAAAATGGGGTTTTACACATTAGACACATAGAGCTTCTGGTTCTTTTTCGTTACTCAGAAAAGAAAAAACGACACCTCTGCATCAGCCGTGTGGTCAGTAACACAGACAGAAGGGGAAAGTGCCATTTGTCATCTATAGCCAACGTTTCACGTATGACATGTAACACAATACAGCATGAACAACAAAGAGCGTTACGGAAGCAGAGCCTGTGATTGTACTAATCCGTCTGATCATCTGGAACCTGCCTGCATTAATCCCTCCCCAATATATCATTGCTTCTTGTTGGGGAATCCCGTCGGACAGCAACTTTGCCTCGGTGGGAAAACAGCATTCTGTCATGATGTCACCAATGACACAAGGACTCTAAAACCCTGTCAGAGTTTCATCACGGACAAGTGTTGACTTGGAGAAAAAGAGGAGTGTGCCGATAGCTGCTCTGAAAGCTCTTTTGGCAAGCTCAGCCCCAGCTGAGGGAATTCATCACTTAACATCGCCTTAGAATGATTACCTCCATGTTAGAACGCCTCCCTTGTCAATTGATTTGACACTGAAGTTAAAACTATTAAACATACATGGCGCTTAACACGTTTGCTAACGTCTGTATTACAGTTTAACAACACTAAGCAGACCGAGCACCAGTGAGTGAAAAACATTTTAACATTTGAAACAACCAAAACCGCAAAGGAACACCTGCACAGAGCCCGGCAATAAGAGAAATAATAGAAAAACACATTGTTATAGTCATAGAGGTGTTCAGATTGTGTTATTCTATCAAATGTTTCTGTCACACCAGATGACATTACATTAAATTTCTTTGCAGGGAACTGAACCTAACTGTGATCTGTGTTTTCACCCAACAATTATAATGACATTCATTCTTTTCCAAAAAAAAGTAGGTGGGTCCCCATAACGTGACTGTGTAAACAGATGTGTGTGCCCACAACGGAAGCTGTTCACGCCCACACACACACACACACACGCGCGCGCGCATGCACGCACGCACTCACACAGAGTCCTCCCTCCTACGGCTTCCTATCAGAGACATGTCTGCGCATGGATGGTTCAACAGTTGAGTCTCCAGCTGCTGAGCGGAGAGGAGCGCGCAGCGCAGCGGACGCGTCACACTCGATCCTCCGCTGGAGAACTCGCGCACTTCCACATTCCGCGTGAATGAGAAGCTTTTGCAACATGGACGGCCCGCGTCGCGCGCTGTCTCTGCGGGGAGTTGTATCCGTGTTTTTCCTCGCTGCGCTGCGGGAGCCCGGGGCCGCCGGTGAGTTGCTCTCGAGTTAAACGAACGGCTGCGCGAACCGCGGCGACGTCAGCCGCCGCACTGTATCCGAGCGCCGCGCGTCCCGCGTTTTGGAGTCCGGGAAACGTCTGAGCCGCGGGCCGCCTGGCGCAACAGGTGACGCACTCCGCGGCTGAGACTGCGCTCTGCAGGCGGTTACGTTAGTGCGCTGCCAGCCTGGTTCCAGACCAAGTGTTCTCTACTATGGGATCACGGAACCAGGTATTAGCTAATAATACAAGTCGGGAGAATTGATCATCTATTGAACAGTATATATGTACACTCTCGCCTTTCAAAGCTGGTTCTATAAATCATGTCGTATTTTTCATTTAAGGTGCTTCTTCCTTTCAAAGCTATTCGTGTTGTTATGGGACATTTGAGTTTTGGGTTTCATATATTGCTCTCATGCATCTCCTTACTTACATTGTTGTGCATTATTTTTATACAGTAAAGTATATAAATTCGAATTTAAAGTAGAGGTCTGATGCACTTGAACGTAACGTTAGTTCATCAGCTCCTGGTGAGTGTCTAGAGGAGAAACTCCAGGTGAAAATAGTAAACATTTTGAAAAATTAACACCCTCATGAAACTTTCCTATATAATTACTCATTTCATTTTTGAAAACTTTGAAAACTGCTAGTCATTCAAAAACATGTGCTTATTTGCATACATTTCCATACCTGAAACCTGAACATTTGATGAAGTCAAAAATTCTTGTTTAGTTGACTTATTAGAGCCAAAGGGTTTTACGGATGGAATGTTGTATATCTCTTTTCATCACTCCATTAATCAGAAAATACTGTCAACAAACATAGAAAATTCTTTTTCAGCATATTTTCAGTAATACAATGTTGTATAAGTCATGGCTGCTAATAACATATGAACATGGTTCTCTGTAATAACTTTCAAACTATAGAAAATAATTAATCTGTAAAGTGTTGAGAGTGTTATTGAAGCATAGCTTTCTCCATGCGTCACGGTCACAAGGAGAAAGCTATGCTTCAATAACACTCAGAGGGTGCGCCGGGAACCGCAGGGTTGGCGGTTTAAACCCTGAGTGTCCCTGAGCAAGACACCCAACCCCTAACTGCTCCCCAGGCATGTAACCATGGGTGAAAAAGGCAATGTAAGTTGGATAAAAGCGCCAGCTAAATGACATGTAATGTAAATGTCATTTCTGGATCAGTCTATTAAAATGTAATTGAGAGAAAGAAAAGTTTAAATATATCCAATCAAATACATTTTGAAGAAACAAAAGGTGATATAAGTGTAAAAAAAACAAAAAACTAGTGGATACCACCATGGTTAGTTAGTTACTTTAAGACAATATTTCTTTATATCACATTGTATTGTTTAAATAGGCAAATGAGGCATTATTCAATATGTTTGGTTGAAATTTCGAGAAATCTACATTCGCAAATAGACAAAGCAGTAAAATAAAAAAAAAGACACAAATACCTATATGTTATAGAGGAAAAAATATGACCCACCGTAGTGCATGAAAAAAGGGAACATTGTTTTTCCCGGGGTGTCTCTTCTCAAGTCTCCTTGTGTGTACGCAGCTCTGTACTCTGCAATCTCACATGTCAACGGTGGCTTTTAAACAGACTTGGCCACTTTCCATCCGTCATGCCAAACACCCCACATTCAGTCCTCCACAGAAAACTCTCTCTGTGACAGGTGGGTGGATTGAAAACAGCTTGAAATTTGACAATTCTGCCTTGGTTTCTGTGAACACACACCTCATCGTTCCCTACTCCCCTCTTCTTTTCCCCTGTTTTCTGTCCTGTGTGTTCCGACCCCCCCCCCCCCCCCCCCCCCCCACCCCACGGTGCATTGGGCCTATTTTCAACCTGGAAATCCCACATACCAGAAGAGACTGTGTGGTCCTGCCTGCATTGTATGTGTCACAAATAGACACCTACACACTCGCACAAGAAGACACGCAACTTCCAGCCACATGGCCCACATGCTGCCCACCACCACACATTAACAAACTCCTTGTTATTCTAACTACTACGGAGCACCTCGGCCCTGCAGGAAGCCGCTGCCCCGGTTACCCAGAGCAACTTGAACTTTTGGTTATCAAAACACACTCATTTATTTTTTTATTTTAATCTTTTATTTCTGTGTTTGCTTTCAATTGATGTTGCGAACCGTTGGCTGTCACAGGAAGGTTCCTTCTTCCTTCCTTTCCAAGGAACCTCAGTGTCCGCACATAGGCCGCCGCCTGCGTGTCCGTTTCCCCATCCCTGTGCTCTGCCAAGAGGGGGCCGGAACACAAGCTATTCAGAGGCTCTCAATCAAATAGCCAAGGCGGTAAACTGTGTGAGAAAGGGGAATTGGATAAATACGTTCCTTTGAAAAACGACTTTCCTTTTGCTGATTCTTTCATTTATATTACGGCTTTCAATAGATTTAAAAAAAAATCGAATTAATCGCACATTTTAAAATGTGTCGATTAATGGTGATTATTGAATGTTGTTGTTGTTGTTACAATGTTGGTTTTAATGAATGTTTTCCTTCTGAAGACTAAATCTTACAATGAGTAATCACTGTTGTTTAATTCTTAACTTAAACTACACACATTTGATCATCTTGGAGGCGGGTTAAACTAGCAACTCTTCCAGCTAGCTTAGCCTAGCAGCTAGCTCAGCATAGCGGTGCATTAAGTGTTCCGTTTGCTACTCACCCCCCTTCTGTTTGACACATGGAGGAATTCCTCTTCACAGTTCTCCGCTGGATCTCGCGCCTCTATTTGTTTTACCGTCTTGCTTTCTCCAATGTAACTGACAGCTGCAGCTTTGTAGCATTAATCTCGGTCCCATTAATCGCATAGATTAGGGGTGTCAAACTCACTTCAGATTTGGGCCAGATTCTGCCCACTTTGATCGAAAGTGGGCCAGACCGTCAAAATCATAGGGAGGGTTGGCGCGGACATTACGGCCATTATAGCTTTAAAGTCATTGTAATCGTTGGATATAGTGCTTGGGTTGTTTGACTTTGTCACTTGTGTGTGTGTTCCATCCAAACCACTGAGTGGTATACAGGTGGTGTCCAGGCAGTTTGAAGTGTATCACACCATACATGGTACAGTTAGTGCTCGTTGATATGCACACGCACGTGAATGTCTGACGGACATCTGGACGTTACTTCTCTGCACCGGTGCGATCATGGCTGGATGTTCAGGCTGTAGGAGGCGTTGGCCACGGCTATCAAGCGTTGATGAGTCATTATGACGATGCTAAACTGTTATTGTACAGCGCCCAGGCCTCGTTCTATCTGTCCAAGCGTTGTACTGTACAGCTCACACTCGCTAAATTCACTCTCGCTTTTCTGATTAACTTGAGTCTGAGAGTTGTGTGAATTCTATAACTCAACACTGTCCTTCCTATTCATTGGCTGGCTGGGCGTCAACGGCCTGCTACGTGACTCACACGTCGACGGTGATCACGGACGTCGGCGACAATGTGCATGGCGTCCGTGCTCACCGTCCGTGCTCACCGTCGGCATTGCACGTCGTTGACGCCACCGACCGTTCTCACCTCCGCCACAGTTAGCTCGGATGTTGTTGGCATCGTCGACGTGATTGAGGGAGCCTACCATAGCATAGCAATAGGCTGGCTCGATGTCGCCAACGCTGAACACGGACGGCGATGTGCAATGGCGTCCGTGCTCACGACGTGCCATGTCCACGTTGATGGTGAGCGTGGATGTCATTGACGAAATGCGATGTGTATATTATATTTGTGTATACTTATATTCATTCAAGCTGGCTGGACGTTGACGACGTGCAATGGCGTCCGTGCTCACCGTCGGCATTGCACGTTGTCTACGTCACCGACGTCTGTGCTCACCTCCGCCACTGTTAGGAATCAGGAATCAGGAAACATTTATTACCAAAATATGTCAGACGTACAAGGAATTTGACTTGGCGGTTGGTGCATAAAAGCAGACTGAAGAGCTATAAAATATAAGGCTATGGGTTTGTTTAAAAATAAAGTAATAAAAGTTCAAAGTTAAAAATAAAGTGCACCAGCGAACAGATGTGTGCCTCCTGCCAGATGGAAGGGGCACAAACAAATTTTGACCGGAGTGAGAGGGGTCGGCTACAATTTTAGTTTTTTGCCCAGTGTCCTAGAAGCGAACAAGTCCTGGAGCGATGGCAGATTGCAGCCGATCATTCTCTTTACAGAGCGGATGCAGCCACAACCAAGGACAAGGGCAGGCTGCAGCGTACCAGACGGTGATGGAGCAGCAGAGGATGGACTCCATGATGGCCGTGTAGAAATGCCCCATCTTCGTCTTTGGCAGGTTGAATTTCTTCAACTGCCTCAGGAAGAACAACCTCTGCTGAGCCTTCTTGGTGATTCAGGTCCTGGGTGAGAATGGAGCCCAGAAAACGGAAGCAATCCACAGCGGTGACGGGGGAGTCACACAGGGTGATGGGGGAAGGTGGGACTTCACAACCATCTCCACTGTCTTTGGAGCGTGGAGCTCCACGTTGTTTTGGCTGCACCACGACACCAGATGGTCAGACTCCCACCTGTAGGCGGACTCATCCCCACCAGAGATCAGTCCAATGAGGGTGGTGTCATCCGCAAACTTCAGGAGCGTGCTGCTTCCTGTCAGACAGGAAGTCTGTGATCCACCTGCGGGTGGAGTTGGGCACGTGCAGCTGAGAGAGTTTGTCCTGCAGCAATATTAACTCAATCTTTTTGAGATCCACATTGATCACATAAGCCCAACTTTATTCTGTTGGGATGATGAGTTTGTGGATGACACCTAATCACGGCAGCAAGGAGACTGTGAGGTTCAAAATACCCGAGTCACCCACATAACCGACATGGTTTGGGATGATCAGGGACGACAAGGATTCAGTGGGCTTCACTGTGGACGTAGATGACACCTAAGCAGCGTGTCAGCGAGAAGACAGGTTCGACATAACGGAAACCACACATCACAGTCGGCATGGACGCAAA